GAGATAATGAGATATGAGTTTGTAAGCATGTAAGTCAAGTTACGAAACCACTTGTCCTAACCTCTCGGTCCAGGGGCATTAACGTTTAACCCTTTAAGGAAAGGCATGACTGGAGCTGCGTAAGTTGGCACGTCTGGTTTGGTTGATGAACTTAATCTAACATGTTGGACGAGTGTGAGTTAAGTTAAAACCATCACCGAGCAGACAAATTGAGATCTACCAACGAATCTCTTCTTCATGCACTTTCATACGAAAAAAAGGTCCCCCTAACAATACTATAGTAAAGTAATTCAAACAAGATGCGTCCAACTAAGTCGCCCTGACATTACGACCAAGATGTGAAAATGAGGTCGGCCTACTTTTAACTTTTCTATTGTTAATGCAAATTTTACTCGTTTGTGTGTGTATGTGTGTTAACGTCTATACGCAATACTGGTCCTAAATCAGAGTGATCAAAAAGGCTAATGTCAAGCTCTGGTCATCAAGGCTTAATGACCCAAGAAAACGCCCTGACCAAGACTGTGTTAGTTCGCAAGCAGCCATATTTGAGATTGTGAGATGTAAACTTGTAATTGAAAGCTCTGCCTGTTTTAACCCGAATCAAGAAATGTCTCGTGGACTGCGTCAACCTGAACTTCGTATTAAAGCCAAACGGCTGCAGTCTAACGGGATTCAGCTGCCCTCTTCTTGTGAGATCAACCTACGAATCTCTTCTTCATGAACTTTCCTACCAAGTGAAAGTCTCGCCGACAATATCTTTCATTTTGCCTGAAGAGGCGAGTGGAAGGGATCCGGAAGTTAAAGGGGGCTGCCTAGGAGACGTGAGTGCAGATTTGTGGGAACAAATGCTCAGTTCACTTTCATACGACCCCGATGATTCATTGCTGAGTTTTCGCCCGTCCTGTAAACGACGAAAGCTCAGCAAGGAATCTTTGGGATCTCGGGACGCTGAGCCTAAGAAAAATCTACAGTCACAGCCCCTAGGCAACCCTCCTTCGGCTTCGGGTGAGCTCAATTTACGAATCCCTTCGGCTCGCATCTTTGAACGAAATTAAATATATTCCAACATTACAATAGGGTTAAAATCAGCATTCATCCTATTTGGTTAAAGTGAGGGTTTCTCGGTCCTCGACAAACATGACGTTGATGGTGAATTGGGTGGGTAGAATGGCTATTAGTGCCTGCATAATCATAACAAAAAGGTATGGCTTGCTTGCCTTTCGGCAAAACGATTATGTAGATCTACTTTTGCTCCGGCGTAACTGCCTCCACAACACACAAGTCGAGGAACTAGACTAAATAAGCAATTTAAACGCTTGTTCTCTCATTTGAACAGGTCAACCGGGCAGATATCTCATCCGTGCATGTGCAGAACTCACATTGGTTCACATGAGGGCTTAGTTGATACTCGCTGAGAGTAGGCCAGTTGGGCAATTGCCCATCGAGACTGTTGGAATCAACCTGCTTGCCTGACTTGTAGCGATCCTGTCTGGGAATCGAAAGGAAGGGAAACCTTTCCGACAGAAAGGGATGGAATGTGCAGACAGGGCGAGTCTTCACTTCCTTCATTATGCGTGAGTCGTAGACGTCCTACTTACAAGTCATTTCCAGTCTACTCTAGCAAACCAAGCGGTAGTATATATTGGAGATAC